TACTTTTTTCCGGGAATCTACCTTTGAATTCATGTTACACAGAGGTAAAAATCCACAACTAACTTGGCGTTTTTCCGCGAATAGATCAAAAGCTAGTTTTAGCTCTGTACATCGATCGGCCGTTGAACCAGGGTTGAATGCCGTGTTTTTCAGCTTCTTTTTCTCCCATCTGGCGACCGAAATACAAAATACATTTTGCAATTCTCCCACAATGCCTCGCGGCTTTAGAGTCAAAGCTGAGTCAAAACCTGTACGTGGCGGCCAGAGATTAGGGCCTCGCAACTAAGTTAAAAATCTTTCGAAGACGTTTCTTTTAGCAAAACTTTAGGTGTCGGTATAGAAAAATGTTTTGGAAAGAAAGCTCTTATTAATGTTGTTTCTAATGCTCTGGGAATCTCAACATCTGCAACGTGTATGGCCGCTGAGAATGATGACTTGATAAAGTCAGACATCTCCACTTCGAAAATATCTGCGATTGCCGTATTTTTTTACATATGATAACGTTAAATCCGTGACCCCCAAATTCAACATTGTACATTTTGTAACGCAGGGTTATAGTGACTGTCATATCCTACAAGTAATGTTGTGAGTATTTCTCGCTGTTCAAACCCTAACAGGAACGTGATTTTGCCATAATCAATAGGTACAAAGTTTAGTTCCTTAGCTCTGTGTTGTTCTACTCGATCCCTGATGAACTCTGAATAATCAGACGAAACCGGACGGAGATATATCTCAACTGACTTAACAAGATACTAGGTCGCTGTGACTAGTGTTCATTTGAAAAATATTTTAAAAATATAATTAATAAAAAATATCCTTGAGCTGTAGTATTTGTTGTCCTTGAGAGCGTTTTCTTTTCCTTTCTTCCTTTTTTCTCTCTCTTCCCAATTCTCCTTCTTATTCTTCATCTTCTCATCGTTGTCGACGCTCAATTGAGCATCTAGTTCAATTGCATACTACCAAAAAACTTTTTTGATATATATAGACTTTTATATAAACTTTTTTACATGTACGAGTTTTTAAGTATGTTTTTAAATACCATGTGTTTTTTTTCACCCCGGCGAATGAAAGGCATTTTGAATTTGGTCTTCATCTGACGAATGTGGAGTGTGGGATCGCCTTTGCAAATGACCATGACAAGGTGTAAGATAAATTAATTTCTCAAAATTTATATCGAACGTTAAACTGCAGTATTAACTGAAAATCCCATGTCAGTGAAAAAGATTTCAGATTAAAGACGCTACTTTAGAAAAAAGCCAAATGGTCACACCGATACAATAAAACTTTAATCCTCTCGCTGTTTTTCCTGCTCACATCCCTTCGCGCCGTCCCGCCCACGATCTGGGGATGAAGGCCTGGAACAGGCTAGTGTTTGATTGGCCAGTTTGCTAAAAAATCGTACTAATGCCCGGTGTTAATGACAAATTTGCATAAAGAGGCCATTATATAATTGCCATACCTCAGTTAACCCTTTTACTGCCAGAGTACTTGATGGAGTTTTGTAAGTTGACTCTAACTTTTGAGTCTGCGAACGAATATCCTATGATGTGACCATTCAAATGAAAGGTCTCTGCCATTACTTTCACATGGTACTATTTATTTAGTATGTAGTTCTAACTTTTGAGTCTGTGGACGAAATCCTATGATGTGACCATTCAAATGAAACCTCTTTGCCTTTACTTTCACATGGTACTATTTATTTAGTATGTAGTTCTAACTTTTGAGTCTGTGGACGAAATCCTATGATGTGACCATTCGAATGAAAGCTCTCTCCCTGTACTTTCACATGGTGCTATTTTCTTTGTCAAAATTTTAGAAAACGACATTTGGAAATTTGGTCGAAAAATGCCTTTGGCCACATTTGGCAGTGAAAGGGTTAAGAAAACGTCATCAACGAGGTGAAAATGATTCTTTAAAATCAATAATTGATTTTAAAAAATCACTTATTATGACCAAGTCAAG